AGGCCACACCCACAGAGTCGGTTCAAAAAAATTTTGAAACCCACCACTGACACATACACACACACACATTTGATTATGTGCCATTAAGTAGTTGGTGACTCTTGGTGGCCACCTAAATAATGTTCTCCAGAACAATCTGTCCTATGTTATGATGGAAGATGTAATATAAACCTGTTATGAAGTCTTCTTCCTCACCTGTTGCATACTAATTGATGCGTCTATGGATCTAGATGAAATAGCGCCTTCTCGGTTGAGTGTTGGAGAGTCCTCTGCATTCCCCCCCCACCTCCTTTCCATCCACTGCTTAGTTTTCCTCCTTTCCACCCACCCTCCTTCAGGATTTTCTCGGCCTACATTAAAGAGGTGGAAGAGCGGCCAGCCCCTACTCCTTGGGGATCTAAGATGACGTTCGGGGAGCTCATGTTTGAGTCGAAGGGTAGTAACAGCTGGATCCACAGCATCTGCTTTTCGGAGAGTGGCAACCGCTTGGCCTGGGTGGGCCACGACAGCACCATCTGCCTGGCAGATGCCAGCAAGAAAATGGCGTAAGTAGGATGGTGTGAGGAGGGGGGGGGGAAACCGGAGGGTGGTTGATGGATCGTCATGGGAAGAGGAAGATCCTTGAGGAACAAGAGGAAGAACCACAATTTAGGACACTAGTCAAGGAAAAGAAAGCTGGGGATGAAATATACCGTATTTTTCAGAGTATAAGACACACCTCCCCCCCCCTTAAAAGAGGCTGAAAATTTGGGGGTGTCTTATACGCCGAATGTAGCTTTTTAGAAGCTTTTTCTTCAGCCCTAATGAGGCACTAGCAAGCGAAGCAATCTTCTGGGCTTCCCCTGCTTTTCTCTATTGCTTCTCTGACAATCAGCTGTGCTTTAGAAACGGTTTTTTATCCCCAACTATCGCGCACACTTAAAACCAGCAAACCTATGTGCTGAAGCTGACCAGTTTAAAGATGCTAGCCACTTGAATACTTGGTAGAATAGAATAGAATAGGAGGAATATAATATAATAGGAATAGAATAGAATAGGAAGAATATAATAGAATAGGAATAGAAATAGAAATAGAATAGGAAGAATAGAATAGGAATAGGAATAGAATAGAATAGGAAGAATATAATAGAATAGGAATATTATAGAATAGGAATAGAAATAGAATAGAATAGGAAGAATATAATAGAATAGGAATAGAAATAGAATAGGAAGAATATAATAGAATAGGAATATAATAGAATAGGAATAGAAATAGAATAGAATAGGAAGAATATAATATAATAGGAATAGAATAGAATAGAAAGAATATAATAGAATAGGAATAGAAATAGAATAGAATAGGAAGAATATAATAGAATAGGAATAGAAATAGGTATAGGAATGGAATAGAATAGAAATAGAAATGGAATAGAAATGGAATAGAATAGAATAAATAGAGTTGGAATGGATCTTGGAGGTCTTCTAGTCCAACCCCCTGCCTAGGCAGGAAATCCTACACCACTTCAGACAAATGGCTATCCATCATCTTCCTAAAAACTTCCAGCGTTGGAGCATTCACAACTTCTGGAGGCAAGTTGGTAGGCAGAATTCTTTTTTACTATTTTGCTCCCCCAAAACTAAGGTGCGTCTTATACTCCAGTGCGTCTTGTACTCCGAAAAATACAGTAATTTGAGAAAGCATTGCAAAAATCTTTTTATTAAAACTTTATATTAAAAGTTGCGTTAGCTTGCATGCGTTTGGTCTGTGGTCTATAACTTTTTTGGGGTCCACCTATCTCAGTTGTCCTAGACCAATCTTGGAGAACTTTCATAGGTGGACCAAAAAGGTCACATGGACGATGTAGAGTTTGGAAAGTTGATGAGTGGTGCTTTATTTGATATCAGTCAATCCACGACTGGAGTTTTCACATTCATGATTGAAACAAATATTAAGCATCAGGTTGAAGCGTTGTTTTTCCCCCCCAAAGTGTCGCCTGCCTTTCTATGGAGACTCTGCCCCTCCTGGCTGTGACCTTCATCACCGAGAACAACCTTGTGGCTGCAGTAAGTCATAAGCTTTCTCTCTTCTGGGGTGATTTTCCCACAAAAGATTTTCATGGCTAAGCCACCTTATCCTGGCTATGTGGATAATGTTATTTCAAGGTTTAGCCAGTAGATGGCACCATGACAAATATGGATGAGTCCAATAAAGGAGAATATTTGTAGCTCAGGGTTGAAATGCGGGGGGGGGGGGCGTGTCTTTGGTGCTCTCTGAACTTGGATATCTTCTTGCAGACGTTTCATTACTCAGCTAGGTAAAATCATCAGTGCCGGAAGGGCGTGGGATTGGAGGATGGGGGGGGCAGGAGGGGGTAGGACTATTGTGGGGTCTTTGATGTTCTTTGAGCTGGGTTGTTTTCTTGCAGATGTTTCATGACCCACTAGGTAACATCATCAGTGCTGGAAGGTTGTGAAATAGGAGGAGGGGGGAATGCGGAGGAGGAAGAGGAGGAGGATGGGGAAGGGGTGGAGGAAGGGGTGGAGGAAGAAGAGGAGGGGGGATGAGAAGGAGGAAGAGGAGTGAAAGGAGGAAGAGGAGGGGGATAAGGAGGGGGAAGAGGAGGAAGAGGAGGGGGGATGAGAAGGAGGAAGAGGAGTGAAAGGAGGAAGAGGAGGGGGATAAGGAGGGGGAAGAGGAGGAAGAGGAGGGGGGATGAGAAGGAGGAAGAGGAGTGAAAGGAGGAAGAGGAGGGGGATAAGGAGGAGGAAGAGGAGGAGGATGGGGAAGGGGAGGAGAAAGAGGTGGAGGAAGAGGAGGAAGAGGGATGAGGAGTGAAATGAGGAAGAGGGGGATGAGGAGGAGGAAGAGGAGGAAGAGGGATGAGGATGAGGAGGATGGGGAAGGGGAGAGGAAGAGGAGGAGGGGGGATAAGGAGGAGGAGGAAGAGAAGGGATGAGGAGGGGGGATGAAGAGGAGGAAGAGGAGGAGAATGGGAAGGGGAGGAGGAAGAGGTGGAGGAAGAGGAGGAAGAAGAGGAGGTGGAAGGGGAGGAAGAGGAGGAGGAAGGGGAGGAAGAGGAGGAAGAGGAGGAGGAGGGGGGATGAGGAGGAGGAAGAGGATGGAGAGGACTTTGGGGTCCTTGATGTTCTCTGAGATGGGTTGTTTCCTTGCAGACATTTCATGAGCCAAACTAGAGAACCTCACCTGGCAGAACATGTCTTCTTCTGTCTTGGTTGAAAAGCCACCAGCCATCTAGCCTCTTTCCACAGATTCTCCATGAAATGTAGAGCACAATCTCATCCTTTCCCAGCTGCGCTACACATTCTTTATCTCCAGGCACGACACGATGGGGAGGTGTGGACCAGAAGGACACTGATTTGGGGCAGCTCTACCCAACCACAAGTGGTAGCAACATGAACCTCCTCGGCCTTGTCTTCTGAGCTACGTTCTTGGCTTCTCTTTTTCCTCCCCAGGGACATGACTGTTACCCAATGTTGTTCATGTACAATGAACAGCAGGGCGCTTTGACTTTTGGAGGGAAAATGGACATCCCTAAGCAGAGCTCCCAGCGGGGACTGACAGCTCGGGAGCGTTTCCAGAACCTGGATAAGAAGGCCAGCTCTGACACCAACAAGGCTTCTCTGGACACAGTCCACAAGAACAGCATCAGGCAAGTCTGCGGAACGTCTCTTTCCTTTTATAACAAGGGATCTCCCAATTTGGCGAGTTGTGGACTTCAACTCCCAGAATTCCCTAGCCAGCAGAAGCTCCACCAAGTCTTAAAGTTGCTGACTTTGGAGACCTCTGTTTTATAAGATATCGATGGATGGACCAAACAGATACAATCAAGATCAAGGGAGATACTAATGCCACTCTATAAAGGCTTAGTAAGACCACACTTAGAATTATGCATCCAGTTTTGGTCACCACACTGTAAAAAAAGATGTTGAGACTCTAGAAAGAGGGCAGAGAAGAGCAACCAGGATGATGAGGGGACTGGAGGCTAAAACATATAGCAAGAGCAGTTAGACTTATATACCGCTTCATAGGGCTTTCAGCCCTCTCTAAGCGGTTTACAGAGTCAGCATATCGCCCCCCAACAACAATCCGGGTTCTCATTTTACCTACCTCGGAAGGATGGAAGGCTGAGTCAACCCTGAGCTGGTGAGATTTGAACAGCTGAACTGCAGTCAGCTGAAGTAGCCTGCAGTGCTGCATTTAACCACTGTGCCACCTCGGCTTTGTATATACAGTAGAATAGAATAGAATAGAATAACAGAGTTGGAAGGGACCTTGGAGGTCTTCTAGTCCAACCCCCTGCTTAGGCAGGAAACCCTATACCATTTCAGACAAAGGGTTATCCAACTTCTTAAAAACTTAAAAACGGCTCTGTAAAGAAGAACGGTTGCAGAAATTGGGCCTGGCTAGTCTAGTGAAGAGAAGGACCAGGGGAGACAGGATAGCAGTCTGCTAATATTTGAGGGGCTGCCACAAAGAGAAGGGGGTCAAACTGTTTTCCAAGGCACATCAGTGAGGCAGAGGAACAGCTGGAGCCTGTTCCCAGTGTGCACATGTGCAGAGTTGCCAGAGGAAGGACGCAGCTAAAGAACAGGGGTCAGCTTGGGAGTAAGGCCACAGGTGGACAGTGAATGGCCCCTCCCAGAGGAAATAAAAGGGGAGCGAAAGGGGAGTGGAGTTTGCAGGAGACAATTAGTTCGCTTAATTTGTGACTCTCCGAGGCTCCTTGCCAAGTTTTGCAGATATCAGGCCTGGCTGCTCTCCAAGCCAGAGAAGGTCTGTGACCGTAAATCCTCCCTTGAAAGACTTTGCTGGAGGCAAATGAGAAGAATTCGCAGTCAATGAATAAAAGGGTTTTTTGTCGGCATAAGGGGTTTGCTTCCTGCTTTTGGGAAGCCTCGGTCAGAACATTGGTTTGTAGTGTCTTCTGCTCCAGTCGAGAAGACTCAACCAAGGGATTCTTTGGTTCTCTTCCAGCCAAATCTCTGTGGTTGCCGGGAACAAAGGCAACTGCTCCAGATTCTGTACCACCGGAATGGATGGCGGCATGAGCATATGGGATGTGAAGGTGAGTAGGGTGGTGGTGGTGGAAGGGGGCTGCCCTGTGCCATCCAGGTAGACCCGTTAAGACAGAAACAAGAAATATTGAGTTTAGACATTTGAAGGCTTAAATGTGAAGTTGGCCTGTTGCAAAAAAAGCATCATCTATCTTTCTAATAGAAGGTCCCAGCAGCATTCTTTAAAATCAAAATCAAAATGTTGGTTAGCTGGGGTTTTAATTTAGAGCAGGGTTTCTCAAACGTGTCCACTTTTGCAGTCTGCTTTATTTATTTCAATGTGAAGGAGCTTTTTCCCCCTTTCATGTTGCAAGAAACAAAATCCATCCCTTGACCCGTTAAGACAGAAACAAGAAATATTGAGTTTAGAAATTTTAAGGCTTAAATGTGAAGTTGGCCTGTTGCAAAAATAGCATCATCTATCTTTCTAATAGAAGGTCCCAGCAGCATTCTTTAAAATCAAATCAAAATGTTGGTTAGCTGGGGTTTTAATTTAGAGCAGGGTTTCTCAAACGTGTCCACTTTTGCAGTCTGCTTTATTTATTTCAACGGGAAGCTTTTTCCCCCTTTCACGTTGCAAGAAACAAAATCCATCCCTTAAAAAAAAACAAAAACCGCCAAGCTTCGGTGGAAATTTGGAAGAAAATTGAGGCAGGAAAGGGAGTTTTTCCAGGGGGAAAACAGGTGACGAGAGGGTTTTGAATTCCATGTTTTTTAGATCCCACTTGAGCCAAAGAAAAGGGGAAGGGAAAAAAAACCCAGAGGTTACAAGATTTATAGTCATTGGGAATCCGGGGTAAAATCAGCCCGGATCCTAATGGATCCGATTTCTAATCTTGAGCAAATAGCTACTGGATTGTAATCCTCTTTTCTTTTTGCGTTTCAGAGCTTGGAGGCTGCAATGAAAAGCCTCCACGTCAAATAAACCGGCATAAAATCTGCCGCGCAGAAAACAGGGATTTCCCGCCTGCCGAGGAAATCAATCAAGGCTTAATCGATTCCTGCTTTCCAGAACCTTAAAAAACGACAATCCCAGATGGCTACAAGCTCAGCTTTTTTTTCATTTTTGGAGGCCTCCTGGGCGGGAACCCAGGAGGGGGTTTAAAAATAAAATGAAATAAATGCAATTTAAAAGAGTCTAAAAATCTGCGTCTGTCATGATTTGGGGTCTTTCCTCTCCACCCCCCTCCCGGGCAGTCCTGCATTTCTAAGAATTTAAAGATGAATCTCTGCTGCAATTTTTATGTTTACAGGTAGTCCTCAACTTACGGCTGAATTTCTGTTGCTAAGTGAAACATTTTAAAGTGAGTTTTGCCCCATAATCCTCGGCTTGCGACCACAGTGGGACCCAAAATTTGTTGCTAAGTGAAACATTAGTTAAGTGAGTTTTGCCCCATAATCCTCGGTTTACGACCACAGTGGGACCCAAAATTTGTTGCTAAGTGAAACATTTGTTGAGTTTTGCCCCATAATCCTCGGCTTGCGAACGCAATGGAACCCAAAATTTCTATTGCTAAGTGAAACATTTGTTGTGAGCTTCGCCCCATTTTACCACCTTTCCTGCCACAGTCATTAAGTGAATCACTGTGATTGTTAACAGCCCGGTTGTTCAGTGGCAATCCCCGTTGAAGACCCGACTGATCAGGTCACAAAAAGGGGCCACAAGACACTGCGACCGTCAGGAATACGAGTCAGTTGCCAAGGGGCAGAATTTCGACCGGCCGTAAGGGTGAAAAGCGATCTGAAGTCATTTTTTCCCCCCACTGCCGTTGTAGCTTTGAACCCTGGCAGGATTTCAAATTTTGGAATTTCCCAGCGGGACCCTAGGAAACGAAGTCTCTGAGGCTTGTAAGGTAACGGTAATGGTTCCCCACGCATGTGCTAGTTGTTCCCAACTCTAGGGGGTGATGCTCATCTCCGTTTCAAAGCCGAAGAGCCAGCACTGTCCGAAGACGTCTGCGTGATCATGTGGCTGGCATGACTCAACGCCAAAAGTGCATGGAAGACTGTTCCCTTCCCACCAAAGGTGGTTCCTATTTTTCTACTTGCATTTTTTACGTGCTTTCGAACTGCTAGGTTGGCAGAAGCTGGGACAAGTCACGGGAGCTCACTCCGTTACGCGGCGCTAGGGATTCGAACCGCCGAACTGCCTACCTTTCTGATGAACAAGCTCAGCGTCTTAGCCCGAGCCAGCCCTTGTGTGAAGCTTTAGGAATAGCAGTTAGCAATAGCAATAGCAGTTAGACTTATATACGGCTTCATAGGGCTTTCAGCCCTCTCTAAGCGGTTTACAGAGTCAGCATATTGCCCCCAACAACAATCCGGGTCCTCATTTTACCCACCTCGGAAGGATGGAAGGCTGAGTCAACCCTGAGCCGGTGAGATTTGAACAGCCGAACTGCAGAACTGCAGTCAGCTGAAGTAGCCTGCAGTGCTGCATTTAACCACTGTGCCACCTCGGCTCTTGAAATGGAGATTATCCACCCACAGGTTTCAAGATAGTTTCTATCCTTGGGCTGTGAGACTTTTAAATACAACCACAATCACTCCATGCACACGCTAAGTTTTTCTTTCTTTTTTCCTTTCTGTTATAATTTTGCACCAGTGGGGTTAAAACCAGTTCTGTTGTATTTAAGTATACAATGACAATAAAGATTATACTTAAGGAAAAACAGGACTTCAATACATTTCCTTGGGGGGGGGGGGGGAATGTTGCGCGTGGCCGCAAAAGCGTGAAAAGGCACCAGACCGTTACGATAATTTAAACTTTATTCAGCCAAATATACAGGTTTTTCTCTTTTCTCTCTCTCTCTCTCTCTCGCCTGCCTCTATTCTGCAAAGATGCACAATCCCGAAGATGCCTTTCTCTTGGTTTTCGTTTTTCCCGGGGTTTGTGTGTGTGTGTTTTTTTTTAAAAAAAATATAAACTCATTATCGACTTTCAGAGGAGGAGGAAAGAAATGAAAAGGACGGCTTTAAAAAAAAAAAAAGGAAGAAGAAAGAAAAGAGGGTGGAAAAGAGAAAACCGAAACAGCTAATGGGTTGGGGGGCGTGTGGTGTGTTTGTGTGTCAAAGATTCCACCTCTGCCTCGTAACGGTTGATTTCCCCGGATTCTTCTGCAGTCTAGGTCCATGCCAAAGCGTACGGCGTCCCCCCCCCCATATTTTTTTTGGAAATGCACCTACGGGGGTCCAAGCTACTCATTCCCCCCCCTAGTTCCCTGAAAGCTAGCTGAAGCGATCGGCCCCCTCCCCAGCAAACCTTCCGCCTCCGTCGGCCTCCCACCCGAAATTAACCACATCAAACCGTTCAGCTGGCGGCGGTATTTTTGCCCCCTTTCCCGAAAAATAAAATAAAAAATCCCCCGGTCATTTTAATGCAACCGTCGGTGTTGTCACAATGTTTGCTCCAAAGGTGAAAGAGTGCTCGGATCTCCTGCCCTCCCCCTGCCGCTTTCCCCTCCCCTCGCCTGCGTGCCCCCCCTACCCCCCAAAAAAAGTAATCCCGTGGAACTCTGTGCCCAGATGAAGACGAACACGGAGCGGTCAGTGTCTCTTGATGAGAGGTGCCGCCTTTGCCGCCCACTGCCCTCCTCCTGCAGCCTCTCTGGGAAATGACGCCGCAGCGAGTCCGAAGGTGCCAGGCCCAGCACCGTCCCAGGGGGTGTCCCTCCTCTCGGGGTGCGGGGGCTGCCTTTACTTGTTGAGGGACAGCGACTGCATCCGCTTGCCAGCCATGGCCGCTTCGTCTTTAGCTGGGGGGGGGGGAGGGGAAGGAGAGGGGGGGAGAACCGGAGAAGGAAGAAGAGTTGAATCCATGAATTCTTCCTTCCTTCCTTCTTTCCTTCCTTCCCTTCCTCTCTTCCTGTCATCCACCTTCCTAGAGTGGATAAGAATTCCTACGGGAAGGAGATCGTAACTCCAGATAAGCCACCTTTATAAAAGGCTGAGGGGTCTTCTTTCTTTCTTTCTTTCTTTCTTTCTTTCTTTCTTTCTTTCTTTCCTTCCTTTTTTATTTTTCTTCCTCCCCTTCTTTTCATTTCCATCTCCCTTCTTCCTTTTCTTTTTTTTCTTTCTCTCTTCTTCCTCCCTCCCTCTCTTCCTGTCATCCACCTTCCCAGAGTGGATAAGAATTCCTACGGGAAGGAGATCGTAACTCCAGATAAGCCACCTTTATAAAGGGTTGATGGGTCTTTCTTTTTCTTTCTTTCTTTCTTTCCTTTCTTTCTTTCCATTCTTCTTCCTTTTTTCTTTCTCTTTTTTCTTCCTCCCCTTCTTCTCATTTCCATCTCCCTCCTTCCTTTTCTTTTTTCTTTCTCTCTGCTTCCTCCCTCTCTTCCTGTCATCCATCTTTCTACAGTGCATAATAATTCCTACGCAGATCAGCCACCTTTCTTTCTTTCTTTCTTCTTCTTTCTTTCTTTCTTTCCTTCCTTCCCCTCTTTTCATTTCCATCTCCCTCCTTTCTTTTCTTCTTTCTCTCTCTCCTCCCTCCCTCCCTCCCTCTCTAATCATTTCCATCTCCCTCCCTCCCTGACACGTAGGCAACTTAAAGACTGAGAAAAATCCACCACAGGAGAAACACTTAAACAAAACTGCGAGAAAACCTCACGGGAGCCTCAGCCCACTTCCCCCCCACCCCTTACCTCTCCTCTCTTCCTCCTTCTTTTTGGCTGCCTCCTCCCTCTGTTTCCGGATGATGGCTAGCCGGGCGAGGTCGGCCTTGGCCTGTTCCGTTTTCCCTGCCAGGTGCATCTTCATGTACCTTTCTTTCGCCTTCTGTTTTTCAATCTCTTCTCTGCAAAAGTAAAGGGGGGGGGGCGGGGGGGGAGAAGAGTCAGCAGGGGGCTTTGGAGAGCTGGGTTAAAAATCTCCCTCCCAAACAATTGGCTTAAGAACGGAGGGAATCCAGAGGCCAGAACTGCCCACCTGCCTCTCTGTCTCAGAGGGGAAAGGAAGGGACTCACCGTTCTCTCCGCGACAATTCCCTCGGGCTCTCTAAATCGAGCTGGGTGACTTTCTTCGCGGTCTGCACCGCCCGGTTGGGGTTCTCTATGTCGATCATGCCTTCCACTCCTTTGTGCTTCGGCTGGAATGGAAAAGCCACAACAAAAGGGGGCTGGTTGGGAGAGAGAGCGCTTTCCGGAAGGGGGTTTTGTGACCGTTGCGTGGAGATGAGGACCTTGGGAGGTGGAGGGAAAGAGATGCTGCCCAGGGAATGGCTGGATGAGAGAGAGGCATAGTGGGGGAAGAAAGGAAGAGCGGATGGGAGGGAGGAGAGGAAGGAAGAAGAAAGTGGGGGGGGGAGGGGAGGGCAGAGGAGGAAGAGAGAAGGGGAGGAAGGGAAGAGGAAGAAGGGGAGAAAGGGAGGAAGGAAGGGGGAAGGGAAGAAGAAGAGGAAGGAGTAAGGGGAGTAAGGGAAGGAAAGGAGAAAAGGGCAGGAAGGAAGGGGCGAGGAAGGGAGGAAGAAGAGGAAGAAGGAAAGAAAAAAAAGGGAGGAAGAAAGGGGAGAGGGAGGAAGAAGAGGAGGAAGGGAAGGAAAGGAGAAAAGGGCAGGAAGGAAGGGGCGAGGAAGGGAGGAAGAAGAGGAAGAAGGAAAGAAAAAAAAGGGAGAAAGGAAGGGGAGAGGGAGGAAGAAGAGGAGGAAGGGAAGGAAAGGAGAAAAGGGGGAGGAAGGAAGATGGAAGGGAAGAAGGGAGGCAAGGGAGGAATGGAAGGAGAAAAAGGGGAGAAAGGGAGGAAGGAAAGGAGAAAAAGGGGAGGAAGGAGGAAGGGAAGGAGAAAAAGGGGAGAAAGGGAGGAAGGAAAGGAGAAAAAGGGGAGGAAGGAGGAAGGGAAGGAGAAAAAGGGGAGAAAGGGAGGAAGGAGAAAAAGGGGAGAAAAGAGGAAGGGAAGGAGAAAAAGGGGAGGAAGGAGGAAGGGAGGAAGAAGAGGAGGAAGAAGGAGAGGAAGGGAAGGAGAAAAAGGGGAGAAAGGGAAGAGGAAAGGAAGGGAGGAAGGAAAGGATAAAAGGGGGAGGAAGGAAGATGGAAGGGAAGAAGGGAGGCAAGGGAGGCAGGAAAGGAGAAAAAGGGGAGAAAGGAGAAAGGGAGGAAGAAGAGGAGGAAGGGAAGGAGGAGGGAAGCAGACAGAAACAACCCTCCCCAACTTGTTCGGCTGTAAAAAGAGACGTGGGAAATCAGTCCCTGCAAGGCTTTTTCAGAGTCAGAGTTAGCCTTACAAAAAAGCAGCCTCCGTTCCTCCGGCCTGTGTCCGGCCTGGTCCACCTAGGAAGGCTGACCTTAAGGCAAAGGGGCAGCCAGACCCTGGGGGGGGGGTGGTGGTGTGAGGGAATGCAAGGCAACAGAACAGGTGTGCAGAAGAAGCCTCGAGCGGCTGAATCAAAGCCAAGAGCATCTCATTGCTCTTCCTGCTCCTAAACCAAGGACGCTCTTCTCCAAACCCCGACCTCCCCCGCTCTCCCTACCTGATAGTCCTCGCCCTCCTCTTCCTCGCTCTCATCCGAATCTAGCGATTTCTCCTTCTTCTTGGGTTCTCCGGAGGCCCCCGGGCCACCTTCCTCTTGCTCCTCTTCCTCTTCCTGTGGAAAGGAGAAGCATCAGCAAACCAGAACAGCTGTGGGGAAGATTGGGGTGGGTGGGTGGGGGGATCATTTAGCTTCATTCAAGCGTGGGGGGGGGAGGCGTGTGGCTCTCCACCCGTTCCTCTGACTGTCTGGCGTCGTGGGGATGTCGGGAGGACGACAAGGGCGGGTCTCCAATTCTCAGCCTAAGCTACCTTAGTATAAACCGACTTACGATCGTTTTTCACACCGTTGCGGCATCCCCATGGCCACATGATCAAAAACCAGACAGCTGGCAACGGACTCATCTTGAGGACGGTCGCCGTGTCCACCCCCAGGTGTCAACCCTGAAGTGAGCCTGGCTGAGGCCTCTTGGGAGGCTTCAGGGATGCCGCAGAGTAATAGGACGGGGGCGGGGGGGAATAGTTAGATGGGGGTTTTGTCGTCAAAACAATGTTTTCTTGTGGGAACCAAGGACATTCCCACAGGTGGCTGCCCACAGGAGGAGCGAAGTAACCTAGCAACCGGCCAGCACTTGGATTGGACAGTGTGAGCAGTGACTTGGGGGCGGGGTGGGAAGGGGAAACTTTTGTTTTTGAATTAGGGGAAAGCTGCGGGAACTCTCAAGAGTTGGCTTTTCACCAGTCTGTGCCAATAGGAGGTACCCAATAAAACGGTTCTTTGAGGGATTTTGCCTGCCTCGGCGTCCTTCTTTCTAGGAGTGCATTACTTTGGGGCGTTGGCACCGGGGTCATGCCAATCTCCTTTTGCGGCCGTCTGACAAGCGAAGCCAATCGGAACAAGCATATTAACTGTTCACTGAACCACCCAGAAAAGTTATAAAACGGGACAACAGTCACTGAACAAATGTCTCGTTTAACAACGTAAATATCAGGCTGGTCAACAGCAGTGAGAAAACGCGTCTCCTTACCCTGGCCTTCTGTTTCTCAGCCTGCAGCTGGGCATCGATCTCTTCAGGGCTGGTATACTGCCGCGCTCGGCCTTTATGGCCCCCCTTTTTACCTGCAAGTAAAAAGTGGGTTCAGAGATGACTTCCCCCCACCTCTTCCTCCTCTAACTTGCCCTGCTTCCATTGGCAGACAAGGTCTGGATTCCCATCAACGGCAACAGCGAGTTTCTAGGATAAGACAGCCTTCTCCCACATGTTCTGAGCTGGGCTTCCCCAAAAAGTACAATGCAGAGTGCTGGTCCCGATAAAACCCCTTTTATTAAAGGAATGTGAATTCCTCTCCTTCACATCCAACAAGGGCCTGGCAAACAGTCTTTCAAAGGTGAATTTGTGACCACAGACCTTATCTAGCTTGGAAAGCTGCCATGTAAATATTTCCCCAAATGAGGTGCTGTGCAAGAAAAGACTTGGGCACAGAGTCTCTGGGATTCACGGACAGATCTTCACACTCCTGAAATGAATCTAACGACTGAATGAACAAATTCTTTCCTGCAAAAGCCCCCTCCTCTTTTGCTCCTCTTTTACGTCCTATGGGAGGGGCCATTCACCTTCCACCTGTGGCTTTACTCCCAAATCAACCCTGATTTCTTAGCTGTTCTTTTCTCCTGGCAGCTCTGCGCATGCACACACTAGG